TATTTATTTTAACTCTATATTTTTACAATTTATTTTCAATATAATAGGCCTCCAACTTCTACATTAAAACTTAATTTTGCCTTCATAACCACCAGTCCCATATGGTGACACAGATTTCCGAAATTATCCAACACCGTTTGAACCTTTGAAATATTTTTGCCCTGAAACAAAATATCATCGACATATATGAACGGAGTTACCCCATTTGAGTATCTCTCAGATGATATCCCATTCATTAGTACATTAAACTGGGTGGGTCTCAACTTTCCTCCCTGAGGTGTTTAAAAGATCTCACACCTGATACACAACGTTGATACCACACCTGAGCCTTTCTTTCTTGAAGATAATCCTCTATCCAGCACAATAATCTCCCTTTAACACCAAGACCAGTTAGTTCATATATGATATCCTCTTTGTTAGCTTTATGAAAGGCTCCTTGTAAATCAATAGAAATTCTATAGTAATAATTATCATTAGCTAGACATTTAATAATACAGTGAGAGGTACCTTTGCCTCTGAGGAAAGCGAACAGATTGCTAGACAGCTGATCACTTATCAAATAAACAAATCTATTTAAAATTATTCACTCCATCATTTTATAGAAACACGAGGTAAAGGACACAGATTTGTACTCTCCATTTGTTTTAGGGATTAGGATGATCATAGCTTTTATCCATTTACTAGGAATACTGCCCTCTTTAAAACTAATAATAAAGGGGCATAACAGTTGGTTTTTCTCCATAATGGCAAGTCCATAAAGTATTTAATAAGTTACTCCATCCTCCCCTGGGGCGGTAGATTTCCAAACTTTAATCGCAATTATTAGTTCATCTCTGGTAATACCTGTGCAAGTGACATCACTACTGCTACCAGCTATAAGTATAAATTTCCAAGAATTTAATGACTCTCATTACAGCAGACAATGAACTAAGCTTGGTAGCTCCCGCCCATTTATCTACGAAACTGTTCGCAATTCCCTGCGGGTCAGGATGTGCAACAAAATTGTGCTTTTTACCCCTTACTTTATTTACGTCATGCCAGATTTTCTTCAAGTTTCTGTTACTCCCAACTTTCTCTGCAAACTCCTTCCGATACTTGCTACTAATTTATTTTCTCTTCTCACACAGCCTAGCAATTGCCAGTAAAACACTCTTCCCTTCCACAGTCCTACCATTCCTAATCCAATTCCTGTGAGCTCTCCTCATTGTTAATGTCCCTCTCCTTAGCATCTTGTCATGTGTATAATTTTCTTCTCTGGGGGGGATCACGTTTTTACTGGATGTTCTGTTCAATGTCGCGTTAAATACATTTTTAATTAGATCTTTATAAAATGCTTTTGCCGTAACTGGACTTCAAGTATGATACAAAGACTTCATATGACCAACAAGACCCCTTAATTCTCCCTCACTAAACTCTAACCTTTTCCTCTGAAGGCAGGCATTCTGTTTATCTTTATCTGTATTCGTAATGAAAAATGATCATTTAGCATATCATCTAAAGTAAGACAATTCTCCTCTATGACCCCCAGCATTTTTCAAATAACAACAATCTAATCTCCCTCCCCGGAAAATGAGTAGGAGAGCAGCAGCAGTTGAGCATTTTCATGTCCCCGCAAAAAATAGCACCATCTGCAACCATCCCTATTTGCTTTACCGCTTGATCCTAAAGCTGGATGTATGGCATTAAAATTCCCTAATACACGCGTATCTTCAGAAAAGAAGGAATCTGGCAAGTATCCTAAATCAAAGGAGTTATCAGAGATGTATAGATTAATTAAATTAAACTCCCGGTCTTGTAATTGAATCAGCAAACTAATACTTACAATACCTCTATATCTCTTAGGTATCTCAGTTATCTGAGCAGGTATGGTACTTTTGACATAACAAGACTCCCCTAATTCCTCCACCAGCATATAAGTGAAAACCTTTATAGCCATTTAGCCTCATATTGCTACCATCCCTATCCCCAGTTTCCTGGAGTGCTATTATGTCAATATTCCCTCTAAGAGTATAATAGTGTCCATCCACTGCTTTAGATTTTAACCCATTAACGTTCCAAGATAGTATCCTCACTCGACTTTCTTCCATGATGAATATTAATAAAACTACCTTCTCCCTGCCCGTCACATTCCATGAGATACGAGAGCCGCTTAGACACTTCCTCCTAACACTAACATTTTTGCTTTCCCCTCACTTGCATAACAATTACTTACATTAAAGGTGATATTTTTCATATATATTTTTTATTTATGTATACCGTTTTACTTTAACTTTTGTTAAACATTTTTTACTATACAAGGTTGAACAATGCCAACACTACTAGAAAGTTCTTTTTCCTGGAGATCAGCAGCAGTTGCTCTCTATGCTCTCAGTTGCTTCTATCATCTCTTCCTTACTTTCTTCTAATCCGTTTCACTCCCCATTTCAAGTCCCGTTTCAGCTCCATCTCCACCCCATCAACCCTACATAGCTAATTTTTTTAATGCTTCAATCCTCCTTTGTAGCTTTTTGAGGTATTCCAAAATATTCCAAACCTGTGTTTACATTGTCCTGAACCTTATCTCCACAAGGGTTAATTTTTTCTGCTGCATTGCCTACTGCCACTAGGCTCGTCTTAATTGTCGCCATTCCCTTCTCCCAAACGTTGGTCACAGGAGCTATCATATTCTTTCCGCTGTTTCCTCCATGTTCTTACTGTACGATCTTGCCTTCCATTGGAGCTTCATCTATCCTGCTTGTAGGAGCCGGCCTGGAGTCTCTTAGCTGAGGTTTCATGGGACATAGAGAGGAACCAGCATTGTGGACACCTCGACAGTTGCAACAAGATGGCAAAACTTTTTTTACCTTTTTCAATCTTGACTCTACACTCTTGCGAGTCATGCTTCGTACCACAGTACCGACATCTGGGGTCAAACTGGCATTACCAAGCCATATTTTTCCAACGAAAACACAAATGCCCTTGCACAAAAAGTTTTTCTGGGGCCTCACCCTTTAACAAGTAAACAATCTGGCTCTATTTTTCATCGCGTACAATGTTCCTCTATGCGCACACATTACTTTCATTGTTGAGATGAAGAAAATTAGGATCCAAATAAGTTGGATACTGAAAAACAATTACCTCGGTGTAAATCATACCTACTTCAGGAGTAACTATCATAATATTCATAAATTCAACCATTGTTAGGTGTTCCACTGCCTCTTCTGTCCCAACTGTTATGTAGGGCTGGTGAACACCCTCCTTAAATAATGGTTCATCTTCACCAAACATCTTAGCCAAATAAACCGTCCACTCCAGCTTTTGATGAAAGTTTAGTTGACAAATTATAGGAAATAACAACCACTTCCTACTATTAATCTGCGTGTCTTGTGTCCTGCTAGTGAGGGTTTCCTGTTAAGAATGTCTGAGAGTTTGCATCCCTGAATTCTCCTGTCGTCGATTATTATACACTTTCGGTCGCTTGTTGATTTCACTGCCATTGTCACTAAGCTGTCTGTGAATATTTGGTCGTTTCTTTCTGGTCATTGCCACCTGCAATGACTTGGAACGATCTTGTCTGTCTTGCTCACTTAGATGTCCTCTGTCATTTCCTCGACTCGCAAAGGCACTGTATCAGTGTTGCAGTTGAACACAAGTTTACAACATCCAGGAGTACTCACACAACAACCACCGGGACCGCGCTTCGGATCGGGACAATCCCTGTGGATTGACTGTGGATTATTCTTTCTTGTAATCAGTTAAACTTCCTCTTTGTCGATTTTTCTTCTAGCTGGTCAACTGTAGAACCATAAACCAACTGGTCCCTAAATGGATTCGAACTCCCACAGCTACCATACCTTGAGGTTACCTTGAGGTGCTTCCGGGGCTTAGCGTCCCCGCGGCCCGATCGTCGACCATCCTCCTGGTTGCTGGACTGATCAACCAGGCTGTTGGACGCGGCTGCTTGCAGCCTGACGTATGAGTCACAGCCTGGTTGATCAGGTATCCTTTGGAGGTGCTTATCCAGTTCTCTCTTGAACACTGTGAGGGGTCTGCCAGTTATGCAGGCACGAATCGTAAAATTACTAGAGCGACGATGCTTGTTTTAACGAATTCAAAATGGTGGTTCTGTCCCAACATAACACTCGTGTTGGGGCAAAGCCCAAATCATGTGGTCATATAGGATCACAACATGTTACATTCACATGTATTCACAGTTGAATTAACCATTAATTGCTGCCTAGCTGCTATGGGTGACAGTCAGAGTGAAAGAAAGTTTTTTATTTCACCAGCCTTTGCCCACTGCAGGAAGAAAGGTAATTTTTAAGTGAATTGATTGACCAGCATCCTGAATCAGGTCATGCATAGCATTAAAAAACCACACTGGATCACACTCGCCTATGAAAAGTTATCTGTCACTACTGAAGCATTTAATTTCAGTCACCACGATTTTCACGAGGCCAGAGGCCGAAAGTCAATATAGAAATGGAGGTACATATGGTAAAAGTACTATATGAGAAAAGTTATTAATTGTCATAGCCATAATTTAGATGCCAAGTTTTACACTCGAAATTCTAAAAAAAAATATTTTTCCCTAAAAAAAATAAAAAAAAGATTCCCAATCAAATTCCAGGGAAAGACTGGAAATTCCGAAGACATTTAAAGTTGTAGGATCTAATTATAAATTGACGCAAATTGGGTAAATGGGAAGATTTTATTTTTCCCTCAGAGTCTAATGTAAACTAAGTTTATGTATTTGCTATAAACGTGTCTATTATGGTGATATCATTTAAGGTCATTTCAAGAACTAATTGTTAGGGCAGTAAATCTAGTTTATATGTAAATTTGAGATTTTAAAATGGTGTTACTTTCAGACCTCAGCTCCTTGAAAGGCCAGTTGTGGAGCCTTTGTGAAGCATATTTACATTTGGAACGTCAATGTGGAGCCAAAGTGGGGCAGTCAAACCCTTTTAAATGTAGTGCAGAAGGTTATTGGTGTATTATCACCCTTTAAAAGACAGGACGAAGTATTGCTGAGGTATTTCACACCAAGAAGGTCAGTACAGTTGATAAATCAAGTGTTTGGGATCTTTCAAAATTTCATATGAATAAATTTGATGCGAAGGAGATGAGCGAGACGGAACGAGCCTCAGCACCTTCTCTTGGAGTATCTGAAGACCATGAGGGTGTTCTTGAAGTAGGTGAGTTGGTCGACATTTTCTCGCAGCTTCATTGATGCCTCCTTGTCCCACTCTAGGCCTCGGGCAGCCATCTCCGTCTTGACATAGTCGTTGGTGCGGCAGTTGACGTGGGAGTGTCCATTTTGCCCCGGCACTGCCCACGATAATACCACACCTGAAGCAGAAGTCGTGATTGGTCACGGGGAATGTTTATCACCAGAGATACAGCAGAGCTCATGTCTGACGAAAGCAACATATATTGTGATGACAGAACAAAATGTATGGAGAAGACCTAGCAGCATCTGAGAGGTACAGAATGGAAGGGCGACTCACCCACGCAGGCGTGCTTGACTAAGTTGTCTAAAAAGTTTCTCTCGCCAGACTCTGGGATATGTTCGCCCACTTCCAGGCTCATCACCCACTCGAAGGGACCCCCGAGGTTCACAGGACTGGCGAGGTCCACTGACGCTATCCTCCCATTAGTGAACTCGTCGATATTTGCCGCTCCGTCCCATCCTTGAGAAGAGCAGAAATGGTTTGAACACATTCACTAGTCACTATAACCAACCGGTCCATGTAGCAAATCACTCAGTAACAAATCTCTGTGACGACCAAGTTATCCAATTAATATATCAGCATAATGTTATTCAAAATCACACAAAACGTTTGTTGACCTGGCTAGTCTGCAACCAACTATTTCATTTAGCCTGTTATATAAGAAGTTATCCTATCTTAAATTTTCTTGCAATTCATATTATTAACCAGAACTGTACAGCTGGGAACAAGAGCAACTTTAATTTCAAATAGTGCAAATTAAAACACATGATGGCATGATGACTTTAATAAGACATTGTTAAAAGCTGCAGTTTAGGCCTCTGTCCCATATAGCAGTGTATATAAGCAATATCCTCAGTTCCTTGAGGCAGTGAATATCAGCAGCATCCTCACATTCTCACGTGGCACTGAATATGAGCAGCATCTATACTGTCCAGTATGGCACTGAATAAGAGCATCATCCCTGCATAGCCTGACTGAATTACTCAATATAAGGGAAAATTCTTTACCAATTTGATCTTTGTCATGACCTCCACACATATAAATATGACCCCTACAAACAAATTTGCTTCTCCTAACTATTCTTTCACATACAATAAATCCAAAGTTTTTCTTGCTATCTTAAACGACACTTTTTCTAAAACTGATTACTTGCTGTTAACCAGTACTGTAATCGAGACATTGCATAAGGTGAAGAATATATATGGGTTGACTTGGCGCGTCATGACTGGTATCCGCAGACCTCTTGAAGACCCTCACATACCAAGAGCCATTTTTGTCTAGTAAATCTCTGCCTCAGAGTATATGGCAGAGGTATAACACATGGAGTGAGGTGAGGCAAGACTGGAATAATGTGGAAGGGAACAACTGGGGTCATAGGAAAAAGGAAGGAAAAATAGGTGCGAGATGTACCTTAACAGTGAGAAGATGAACAGATTCAAAATGTTCCTTGTAAAAAATTTAGAGAATAAGTGAAGGAGGGGGAGCTCATGGGGACACGAAACATTTGACAGATACACTTATTTAGAAAACCTTCAACAGGGTTTTCTCTCAGCCTATATTCACCACAAAGTGCAATTATATGTAAAAAAAAAGTTAATTTTATTTGCATATACTTGATGTTAGCCACAGGAATATATAGAAAAATACAATAACAATAAAATACCATATGTTTTCATGGTCAAATATAATTTCATTTTAGGATTTGATGCAACCGATTTTGTTACATAAACTCCTAAAACCTGGGTAGATGTTAGTTAAATAACATTTGTTTTTGTATTAGGAATGAAGATAAATAAACAAATAATTCGTAAATAATACAATACAAAATACAATAATTCGTAAATAATACAATACAAAAATACATCATAAATGGTCTGGAATTTAATTTAATTATACTTCATAAATTTGTGTGTGTAGTCTTGCAACATGTTCCAAAATTCTTGTAATTATGACATGTTATAACAAAGTGTATCTCAATATTAGGTGATAATGACCATATTAATGGCAAATCATGATAATTCTTATTTTAATGTAGAATATAATTCTTGAACATTTCAAAGGTGACAGTTCTCACATCATGTAACTGCATTAATTCTTGTGAACGCTGTTTGTCCAATTGAGTCGGCCATCGTCTAAAGGTTATTGTGAACAAGCGGTATGGTAGTGAGTTTGAGGACACTATGAGGTAAGGACAAGGGACTGAGGCTTGGAAGAGATGTTATATTGAAAAAATACTAGGTTTGAGAGTCCTATGAAGACTATAGTTACGGACCCGAGTCCAGCGTCGGAGCACGGAGCAGCGACGACAACGCCATCTGTGAGTCCGCTCCCGAAACCCACTCCAAATGGACGACGCCATCTAGTGGTGACAGGATAGGCCAGCAATAAGTGTTGGATTCCTGTCCTAGTCAGCTCATGACGTAGCCGCTGCTGACCTCTGGTGAGGTAGTGCTTAGACAGTGAACGCCATCTATGGAGTGAAGAGGTGGACGTTTCTGTCTAAGCTTGAGTGAAGCGTCCCAGTATTAATGACGTGTCTGATTGCAGAGTCGACCTGGGACTGCTGTGTTGGACGATGGACCAGTCTACCCAAGGCAGCCAAGGTTTCTTCACGAGTCTGCTTTGAAGAAGCTGTGAGCCACTCTCGGACGAACTCTGTTGAGAGTGTAATAACCTGCCTGAGGCGTGGCAGTGTCGGGAATCGCCTTATCCGGGGCTGGCTGGTGGAAGAGACTAGCCACTGTGGTGCTTAATGAGGAGAGTGATCAGCGGGTCACACGAGGCTCCTGCCTAGGGCTCGCAACCCTAGTATTAGTTGTGGAGTGGCCTGACAGCGAAGCTGACCGGTACCTGCCAGCTACAGGCTGGATTGTGGTTGAAGGCCATCACGACGGGGCACCCAGTGGGACTGTGATTTGGCTGGCCTGTGGCCAGGGTAGATTCGTCGTAGAGTTATCGTGGATTCATCATGAACCACGGAAGCAGAGACCAGGGCTACACAGAAGAAGCATCGCCGAGTGTTGAGCGTCTTCAGAGAGGGAGACCTCATTGTACATTGTGTAGTAATAATTCCCTTTTATGATTTTAAATTACGGTGGTAGGAATATATATATATATAAATTAGAATACTTGTCTTCAATGTAACTTCCTTGATAGCTTTGACTTGCATTATGGAACACACCCCTTGAAAGCCTCTACTAACTTGGGGCCGGATCCCCAAACTCTACTACCATCAGAGAAGAACCCGGTTGCGTCCCAGTAGGGCCGTAACAACTATAGAAATAGGGGTAAAGAGAAGATAACTTCAGCATTAAATTTCAGACAAAGCAGAGGAAGCTGAAAGTGCACGAGAAGGTTATAATTTATATAAATCAATGTTTCAAAAGAAAAGATAGTAACACAAAACATGACAGACATCAGGATCACTACACAAATGGGATCGATTGGAAAGTTCAAAGAATTTGATCATATAAATCCCAACAAGGGAAAAATTAAGAAAGATCTAATATGAAAAGTTAAAGTTGTTATTACAAGACACAGGTTATGTCTCCCTCTCCTCCCTATTTCAACTACAAAAGAGAGGTTGAAAAGGGACTCATAGCCGAAACATTTACCTGAGGGCCACTAACACCATTGGCCTCGACGAGGACAGGAAGCTGGCGGCTTGTCGAAGGTTCCCCAGCCTTGATATTTTCCAGTCGGATTTTAAATTTTAACAGAGTTTTGAAAGTTACAGCTTCGGCGGGTAGGCAGTTCCATGGATTTAAAACCCTGTGGGTGAAAATGCATCTCCTGTTCTCAGTCCTTCATTGTGGCTTGTTGGGCTTGAAACTATTGCACCTTGTTTGCGTTACATCTGATCTTTTGAAAAAATTGCCATGATTAACATCCTTAAAATTGTTTAGTATTTTAAAAGTTTCAATGAGATCCGCCTAGTCATGCCTGGTTGTTAGTGATGTTACCCAAGTGGCCCTCAACCGTTCCTGATACTTAGTTGACTTAGCTCTGGAATGATTTTTGTTGTTCAGTGTTGCAGTTTCTCCAGAGCAGCTATGTCCTTCTGAAGAAGACGTCTCCATGCTTGGATACAGTAATCCAAATGAGGGAGCTCCAGAGATTAATAAAATTGAACCACTACCTTCTTTTCCTTAAAGTCAAAGATACCCTTGATTATTCCAAGGGTTTGGTTAGTTTTTTGAATGCTGCTCCAGCCTGTTGTGCAACTTTCAGAGAGTGGTAAATTTTGACTCCAAAGTACTTTTCTTCATCAATCTGCTGTAAAGTAATGATAATAATTTGGAAGTGTTGGCGTAGGTTGCTATGCCCCACAAGCAAAGTCTTGCTTTCGTCGATATTAATAAGTGTTTGCCAGTCATCTGACCATTGGTCGAGTTCATGTAGATCTCTTTGTAAAGTTTCAACATCATTATCATTTCCCACTTTACCATAAATCATTTGTCATCTGCAAATCTGATGATGTAGTTCGCAATATTCTCATCTATGTTATTGATGTATATGACAAGGGGTTGGCCCCAAAATGGACCCCTGTGGCACTCCACTTACCACATTTTTCCAGTCAGATTCATTTCCATTTAGCACGACTCTTTATTTTCTATGTTTTAAATATTGTTTTTTTTTCCATTCTAGTATTCTACCATTTATTTCATGTGCCTGTAATTTCTTTGCCATGCATTTTATGTGGTACCTTACCAAAGTCTTTACCAGAATTCATGTATTCTACATCCACCAGAAGTCCTTTGTCTGTGTAGCTGGTGACCTGTTTCAAAAATGTAAGCAGGTATTTCTTAAGCAAGTCAGCAAAGTAGCTGTTGTTCACACCATTTCTCTTATAAACATATGAAACATCTAGTCCAAAAGCTAAAATACTGTAAAAGTATTCAATAAGACTGTATTTAATTAAAACCTATGAATAAATAAGCATCTACCTCCCCTAGTTAAAATTGACTCACATAAATCTGGACGCGTCCAGAACCAAGTAGGGGAGGAGGGGTCTCATGGGCGATGCCAAGAAAGTGTGCACATGGCTCCCCAGACGCTCAGATATACTGACGTTCAGCAATAATTAACATGTGCAATTTCCCTGAGCTTCGCGATACAGGATTAACAGAGGTTCCGCCCAACTGACGAGCTCTACAAACAGGGAAGTGTTCTGAACAATTGAAGTATATTATTATGTTAGTCAATATTTATAATTAATTGATTGTTCAGTTACGACGCACAAGAAAAACTCGGAATGGGTAAGCGATGTTCAAATTGTTCCTTAATTTCTTTGAATATACTGTATGTTGTTGTATCAGTTTATTACTGGCAACTTTACCGGCAGGTACAGTTCAAGATAAGAAGAGAGAACGCCGGATTGGCCTGTAGTCCCATGAGGTTTCTTAAGTCGTCAAGACAGTGTCTACCTACAAGGTTCTCGGTTCGCGATAGATGGATATCCAGGGCTTCCTATGAGGCCATTACGACTTTGGAGTGAAGCCATAACTATTCACTCACTGATTTGTAGAATAACTAACATTTTGTAGTTCTTGTTACCCACCTCCGGTGGTATAGACTATGAAAATAACCCCCCCTCCCAAATTTGTGGATTGGGTAACATCTGGTCGGAAATTAATATAGAAAATACGGTCCACTTAAAAAATCCTTGAAAATACAGTCATTTATTAACTTTAATTATCTAACATAAATTTAGAAATAAATGTATTAATAATAAATCAAATAAATTCCTGCTAGGAAACTCTCCCACATCAGTAGAGAATAAGTACCTGGTTGTTAAATGATTTGCCGGGTCGTATTCTTTGGAAAATTAGGATTAATGACATGTCCAAAATGCTATGCGTTCTAGTGGTTTTTCAAGAATGTAACAACTCTTGTATATATAATAATAATAATAAATAATGATAAAATAGAAATTTACTTTCTAGGTGAATGGAATAAATAATAATGTACATTGTGGATTTAGACCTTATCCAGAGGTTCTGCTTAGTTATCGATGTCATAGGTATTTTAACTACCTGTGTCATCCATCTAGTTCCCTTTCTTTTTCTCTCCTTTTTGGCACATATTTTTGAATGAGTTCTGTGGTGACCTTCTTGAAGTTTTGTCATGATGCATCCATGTCATGTTCATCTATTTGCTCCCTCCAGGAGATGTTTCACATTTTTTCTCTCATTCCTTGATAGTCGCTTCTATAGCAATCTAGAAAGTCATCATCATGAACTTTCATGGATCAAATAAGAGAGATATGACAAAAAGGAAGCAAACGAGACAGAAAAGCATCAAATAAGAGGCTAAATGGAATGAATAAAGACAGAACAGAATAGAAGATAAGTTTGCTACTAATAACCTTAAGCCTGTAATGATAGTTGATAACCTACCATTCCATGACTTGATGACTTGCCGGGTACCAGAGAGTCCTGCCTGCGACATAAGCTGTAGGTATTCTTTGTTGATGTTTTCGATCTCCACTTTATTAGGGTGGGTCAGTATGCCCTCTGTCTTGCGGAGGAAGCACCTGCCATAGTGGCCAAGGCCCGCCCCGAGGTCCGCGACTGTGGACTCCCTGAAGAGTTTCTCCAATCCAGCACATAACTGTGTTGGGGAGTTGCAGGATTTATGTAGACATTTCCATTTTTTTGTAATTGTTGCAATTTGTATTCATAGCATTTTAACACTATTTTTAGGAATATTGTGATTATTCAACTCTATATATTTTTCACTACCATCGTCAACTTTAAAGATTAAATTTGATGATGTATTGCTAAAAATTTGCCCTAATACTAAGGAGTTGACAAAATATATTTTTTGGCTAAAAAAAACAAATATGATAAAATAAATTGCATATATATCGTTTGAAAGTATGTACAGAGCGTTATATAACAGATAACCCTAGAATATAAATGATTCAAAATAAGTTTTTGCATAAAGTTGTATTCATTAGCGTTTCATTTATATTATTCTGCACTGCACGCAATACTCATTGTAGCATGCACCTCAAAACTAATTAACAAAGAAACCAAAACCATGGATTTTTTTATTTTGAAAGGTAATAACAATGTATTCAAATACATTTCTAGAAAGGATTTTTGTATTTTCTGTGATATTAAACAAATGACTTTTAATAATATTTGATATTTTAATTGTTTCATGAATGCAATATATATATATATATATATATGCATATATGTATATGTATATATATATATATATATATATATATATATATATATATATATATATATATATATATATATATATTGCATTCATGAAATGAATGAATGGTACGTTTATATATATATATATATATATATATATATATATATATATATATATATATATATATATATATATATATATATATATATATATATATATATATTGTTGGGGTTTTCACCTCTCTTCTCTCTAGTCTGGGGTGAGCAATAGTTATGCCCAAGGTAACTCACCGTAGCCCTGCGGGTCTTCACTCAATCCTCACTGCGCCACTGCACGCCAGGAGAGTCTCCCAGTCAATCTTAACGGCCTTTAATTAAGAAAGAGTGAGAACACGACTCGTGCACTTGACTGTCGTGTGCCCTCCCCAACAATCGGGCTCTACGGTTAATCACAAGGTCGCCAACTGGTGTTTTTAGGTGGCCAGTAACACCATCAGTGGACTGGTGTATTTAGTGGTAGCCTTGGCAAGGTCACACTCAAAGATCAGGAATCAGGCAGGTACTTATTGTTATCACTCTATGCTTACAGGTATAGTATAGCCACAAGATCAATGGAGGGGATGATATAAACACAAAGATAGTTTTTGTATTTTACTTAAAATGTATGAAAGATGTCACAAAGGCCAAACAATAATTCATAAATCAACTGATCCTGACGCGGCTGGTAATTCCCACGGATATTATGCGATCATCAGGGGGCAACATCTCCCCCCCCTCATCAAGTGTCAAAAATCAGCTGATCGCGTGGCCTTTCCACGCGGAAGCTCTTTGCTTGTTTTCTAGATTCACGCGCGCTGTTTCATTAAATTCTCCAATATTACTATGAACTCGCACACACGATATTGGCTACTACAACACGTATCACTTGGTTACACTGTACTCAGGCTCAAACAGTCTTTTCTACAATCAATGCTGTAATGATTCACTGTAATGGCTTTACATTGTTCTTCACTCAGCAATATATTAAGAACTATTAACACTGGAGTTTTCAATACTTTCTCTCGTGGGCGATAACGCAATAATTCACTATACTCACAAATGATTATTCACTGAATGAACATAGACATATATATGGTATGTAAATCAATCATCAATACATGGAAAATAAATAGTTTCTGGGCACATAGCCTAACCTCCAAATACTGGCATAATATTATATATAATTTACCACTATATGTTCATATCAAAATCTATAGAAAGATATACACAACACAGTAAATTTATCACTGGTTCCTGGTGTCTGTACACCCCAATAATCAACATGAATATTACAAGTACTCTTGATAGTACTGTCTAGCACACTGGTGCTTTATCGTGACATGGGTGAGACTTGCTCACGACATATAAAATCCTCAGGCTAGAAAATATAGCCAAATAATATAGCTAACTAAAGGGGAAAGGGGAGGGAACTAGAACCACCTACTTCACCCTATCCTCCGATGAGAGTCGAGATGTAGCTCCTGGTCCTCGTGTCGGGAACGCCCCCACACTACACGTCGTCGTGTCCTACCAGAGCCTCTCGTCGTCCCACCGTTTAGCGCGTCGTCTCCGTGCCTCCTCACTGCAGGTCCGTCCTCCTCCTTGACTTCTTGAAGGTTGGAGTCGGTCTCCTGGCCGTCGTCTTCTCCCAGCAACGGCTGTCGCCTCCGTCTCAGCTACAGTCGTCCGGTTTCCCCAAATAGTCCTCTCTTCCCCAGCTACCCAGTGGCTCTGTCAGCCACTACGCTGTCACGAACTGGTGAATTGCCACAGACGTCAACATACGTCACTGCACGGCTTCACTGCTACTGGCACAGTACCTGACTGGAGCACTTGTTGCTCAAATAACCGTCAATTCCCTCTTCTGGTTCAACACATGAACTAGGGAAGACCTCTCAGAGTACTGGCGGACTTCAGGTGACGCGTAAATCCACGGTAGTGGGAAACAGCTGTCCGACAGACAGGACCACTCGTCGCACGTCCGACCTCTATGACGTGTCGTGTCTGACTGCTGGCGCCAGCTTGGCGCGCTGGCCGGACCCCCTTCCTTCGTGACGTCACTTTTGCCACGGGAGGTTTTCATTGGCTCCCGGTGCCACATTGCTGTCGGTGACCAATCCGGTGCCACTGACGTCACACGGTTTTGGCGGGAGATCAGGGAAGCCAGCGCCATCTTGGCTCCCTAAAGGGCCTAAACCACAGGCCAAAATATCACTATTTCACAAATTTCTCGGCTCTCCAAGAACACTTCACTCTCTCCCATATATCAAATTGTAGCCTGCAACGTAGAGAACGCTTGGGAAAAGCAGACATGACTCTTACTGCAGGCGTGGGAGAATTATAAGGGGGGGGAACTCCGTCACAATATATATATATATACAACAGGATAAGTTCCATCCTTAAAATAAATGGGTGTTTACAAGTAGAAAAAAAATAAATTTACAGTTTGGAAATAACAACGTTGGGAGAACCATGTGTTTTTTATTTTTTTCAGTTTGTCTTATGAATTTAAAATCACAGTACATGCTAGGTACCGAATATATGCATCCTACTGAAGTAGTAGGTACTTAATCAAAATGGAGTTTACTGTAATATTGCTTCTGAGGAATAAATTGACAATATCTTAAAAACATAAAAAGTTTACCAAGCCAATTAGAATAGGGTAACATAAGTGAGTTTTAAAGTCAATGATTATCCTTAGGTTTTTATTATAGAAAGTTTGCTTTGCCTGTTGCAATAAAACATTTAAGACTGGTTTTGGGTATTACAATTTTGCCTCAATTTCATATATTTCGGCAATTTCTTCATCAACGAATTCTGCGCTACAGATTCTCAAGGAACTAAGAAACGTGAAAGAGAAAACTGAATATTTAACTTTAATATGATGGTCTGAATAATAATGTAAACAGAACCTTGCAGTGGTAACTTTTATGTATAAAATAAAATTAAAAGATTTATTAATCCTCTGAATCTTAATGTCTTAAAAAGGTAAAACTCCATCGTCCTTCTCGATCGTGAATATATTTTAAGGAACTAGAGTATTAGGCAGATGAAGGAAATCAGAAGGATCAAGATAAGTGAGCCATAAACACAAGATATAATCAACATATCTATATCATACTGTTTTAGAGGGTAGAATCCTTGTTCATATATTTGATGCATGAAACTCCTTGTACAAATTACTCAACATGAGATATAAAGAATTACTAATTACCACAGCAATGAGTAGTCGTTTCTTATTAAGGCTACTCATAGCCCAGTCGATAAAGCTTCTGCCTCATACGCGTGAGAACGAATATATATATATATATATATATATATATATATATATATATATATATATATATATATATATATATATATATATATATATATATATATATATATATATATATATATATATATATATATATATATATTCTTCTTATTGAACTCACAAGGTTCGTCAACATGTGCCTGGCTGGTGATATACCTGAAGTCATCTGGCATCTCTTTATTGATGCCTCCCTCTGTGCTCTCAAAAAGAAGGACGAAGGAATCAGGCCAATCGCTGTTGGCAACACTCTCTGACGCCTGATTGCCAAGGCTGCTACGAGGGTTGTCAGCCAGCAAGCGGCTGAATTGCTGAAGCCAATCCAGCTAGGATTTGGAATCCCCCAAGGCTGTGAAGCGGCTGCCCATGCAGCACGAGCATACATCACCAACATTTCTGATGAAAAGGCCCTGCTCAAACTGGACTTTAAGAATGCCTTTAACATGGTCAGAAGAGATGCAGTACTTTGTGCCGTACATCGCCATTTCCGGCCCCTCCACTCGTTCATACTATCGTGCTACAGTGGTGAGTCAAAACTGCTCTTTGGTGAACATGAAATCAGATCATGTGAAGGTGTTCAGCAAGGTGATCATCTTGCTCCCCTTCTTTTCTGCTTAGTCTTAAAAGAAATCACCGAAAGCTTGTCCAGCGAGTTCAACATCTGGTTTTTGGATGATGGCACTATAGCTGGCACCATAGACCACCTCTTGTCAGATATCAGGAAAATAAGGGAGCAAGAAGTACGCCTGGGTCTCGTCCTGAACCCTTCCAAGTGTGAAGTAGTCTCCTCCAACCCTGACATCGTAGCTAGAATAAGGTCTGCCTTGCCTGGAACCCATGTCATTAGGGCCGAGAACAGCACCCTCCTTGGAGCTCCCCTCGGGTCTAACGCCATTGAGGAGATCCTCGACAAGAAAATCGTAGACCTTAGGAGGATGGAAGACAGAATAGGTGACATCGATGCCCATGATGTTTTTTATCTCCTCACCAAATGCCTATCCCTTCCGAGGCTAACCTACTTTCTGAGGTGCGCCCCATCTTACGACAACCGAAAGCTTGAAGAGTATGATCTCTTACTGAAGACC